ACATCTGTTATGGTATTATCCGTTTTATTGGCATCATAATGTTTACGCAAACTATTTCCATGAATATTAAGAATTGCAGATATCTTGGTATCTAAAGACAGCATTACAAAAAATTTTCCATCATTTTTCAACTGATTAATGTTATATGGTGTTGAACAACATACACAGACCTTACTGTTTTCTTGATCTAATAATCTTTCATCTATTTCTAAGACGGCTCCACATGCTATGTTAGAGCAATAATAAACGCAGTTTTTAAAATGATCATCAGTGGGTAATTATTTTTCAAACATATAATACGATATAAGAAATGCAGCTGGTGTATCTGCAGGTAGAATTGCTCACAAAAGCTGTAATAAATCGTTGATGGTAATTTTAGAAAGATTACGCCTAACTGAAAAGCAAGTAGTAAAAAATAAGCCTGTTCAACGTTAATAATGGAATTTAGACAGAACTTAATTTCATTTTCTGCAACGTCTGCTGATTTGTTTTTATTCTAAATATAAACGCAAAAAGTAATTTATTATTTAAATGCAGTTAAAAAATAATCTGATTATTATGCAAAAATTTAAATTTTTGAAAGAAATAAGAAAATTTTTATTAGCTTGTGTTTATATTTGGTACTTGCAAAAAAAAAAAAAAAAATAGAAGCGAGTTAACTGTTTCTGTGTAAATTGAATATTTTATTTTTGTCATACGTTTCATAGTTTTAGATTCTTGTGATAATGTTAATTATGAAATTTTATTTTTTTATTTAAAACTTTTTGTTTAAATGATTTTTTAAATATTTTAGCGGTTGTAAGCATGTCAACAGTTCTTAATTATTTACTATCTTGAATTTTTTAACTTTCTCAGTTATTTTCTGTTTTAATTCTGATCTATATTTTATATATTTGTAATATATATATTTGTATGATACGGTTATGTAGAGTTATGTTTATACGGTTATGTTTTTTTTATATAGAGTTTTTTTTTATATGTGGGGCTCGGCGATAAGGCAAACTGTGTCTTCTTCTTGCTCTTGCCATTAATTTTGATATATGTATATGCAATGTAAACATTCTCTAACGGCGAAATAAATTACACCAAAAAAAAAAAAAAAAAGATAGCAATACCTATATGAATGCGTTAGCTAACATTTTTTAAAACAGGTTTACTTTAAATAGGTTTACTTTAAATAAGTGCGAATAAAGTCATAGAATAAGCAGTTTATAATACAATTAATAAATTTTTTTCAAATACTAATGGATTGCTCACTGATTGAACTTCAAAAGCAACATCATGATCATTTTCTTGACTCTGAAAAGCAGCATTGTTGGTAATCAACATCTAGGTAACAATATAAAAGAGAACCCAATTCAATTTCAAAATTAATTTATTATACTAACATAAGTTATTTACAACGTAAATACGCAAACAATTATTTAGCAGCCGTGGCTCAGTGATAGCGCGCTTGTCTCAGAAGCCAGAGTTCCCAGCTAGCGTTTCTTTTAAAAAGTTCGTCTTTTAGATGTATAAAAAACGTTAAGTACGTCTAAGAGGCTATTAAAAACGTCTTTTTTAACTAAATTTTTGATGGGACTTTTGGGCAATTTTTGCAACATCGCTTAAGAAGGAAGCATGGACTTTTTATTAAATGCTATTCCGCGTTTCTCTGTGATAAGGCCGTTAGGACTTCTTGGCGCACCTAAAAACAACAAAAAAAGAAGATCTTTAGCAGTTCTTAACCATAGATAATTAGATTTAAAGAAATTATCAAAAATTGTTAATGCATAATTTTGAACTTTGAATTAAAAAAAATTTAAATTTAAAACTTTATTAGAAGTCATTAGAAATAAGTAGCTCAAGTATTTATTTATTTTTTATTATTATTATAGTTGTAGCCGTAAATTTACATAGAATGTACACATACAGCGAGCAGGGAAAACACCCCACTATAAACAACCAGTTTTATAAATATTTGTTCCAAACTTATTCCACAACCAGGAGTCTAGTCTATTTTTGAAGGAAAGTACAGTGGAGTACAAAGTTATTTGCTCTGGTAGTTCGTTCCAGTATTTTGCTGATCTATTATACAAATGATTATATTTTGGAAGACAGTTTGGAGCATACTCACGCCTTATTTTAGAATGGTGACCACGAGACATGGAGTTAATATATTTTGGTAGATATTTATCATTAACTATATCAAAACGATGTATTAATTTAAAAATTTGGATTAAATTGCATCGAAGGCATCGAAACTCAAGTGATGGTAGATTTAATCTTTTTAGCCTTTCGCAGTATTGAAGATGCCTCAAGCTGTAAGCCCATTTTGTTGCTTTGCGTTGAACAGATTCAACCAAAGCAATATCAGCTTTTAAATAAGGAGCCCAAATGGACACTCCATATTCAAGATGTGGTCTTATAAATACTTTATATAATTTGAGAGCCATTTTTTCATCACTGAAAGTGAATGTCTTTTTCAGCATACCAAGAATTTGTAAGAGACAACTGTTTGAATATTAGCGCTCCACTTGAGGTTAGATTATATTTATAATAAATTTACTTTATTTAATCAGTGCTTTTTTTTTTTTTTTTTTGCATTTTTGGCACTATTATTTAAAAAAAAAAATTACTTTAGCGTCAAACTTTACTTTATACTCATTTTTTTGTTATACTACCTACCGATGACTTTCGGTTCCTATAGATGAGTTCCGATGCTTTTTAAATTATACAAAAATGCACTATTACCACTTGCGGGATCGCATTTTCAGAAACGCATCCTTTGTTGCATACATCATTTTCTTATCGTAATCGTTTGTTATACAGCTTTTATTACAGTATATATATATATATATATATATATATATATATATATATATATATATATATATATATATATATATATATATGTATGTATTGCAGTTTGTTATACAGTTTGTTATATATGGAATTTTCTCATCTTCATTTCTGACAGGATTAAGATACCTTTACAAAATATAGAAAATGAATAAAAATTGATTTTTTAATTTGATTGAAAAACTAAAACTGATAAAATAAAATTTACATTATACGTTATTCATAAATGATAATAAATTTACGTACATTTACAATTTTTAAACGTTGCAAAACGCTGTAAAATCGCATAAGGTTTTTATATAATTCGTTTCCTAATATATAGAGGCCTTTCCCGGGTGTTGGCTGAAAATACATTTTTTTAAAACTCGATCACATACACAAATAGTCAAATTCACCGGATCAAAATGTACTATAACGCTTCGCACCTTTGAATGGCTTTTTATAAACTATACAAAATTTTTTTTATAAACATCGATATTCTTAAATAGCTTAGTTAGATTTTCCTTTCAATAAAGTTTGTTAGTAAACAGAAAGCCACTGTAATAAATATTTCATGATAAACGTCATTACATCTAGGCACAAATACAAAGCAGTTGCGAAATCCGCCATAAGTTTGCAAATAAAATTGCAAATATTGGGATAAATGCGAACTGGCAAGAATACAAATTTTGGCATAAATAAATAGAAGAGTACAAATAAGAGAAATAATAAATTAATAAGAGTACAAATACTGGCATAAGTACGCCGAAAGAGTTTGCAAAAGTTGGTATAAGTGCAATCTCTATGCTAATGTTTCAAATTCTTTAGACACACCTTTGCCAGTATTTAACTGGCATAACTGCTTCGCAATTATGCTAGTTTGCACTAACGCCAATATTTGCAAATTCTTTTGACGAACTAACGCCTATCTGCTCTTATGCCAGTTTTTACAACTGCTTTGCATTTATGCCAATGCTTGCAAATTCTTTTGGCGCACTTATGCCAGTTTTTGCAACTGTTTCGCAGTGCATGCTAATGTTTGCCAATTCTTTTAGTGCACTAATGCCAGTTTGTGTTTGTGCAATTTTTTCAATTGATTCAAACCTATGCCAATGTTTTCAAATTCTTTTATCGCACTTATACCAGTTTGCATATTTGTCAATGTTTGCAAATTCTTTTAGCACACTAAAGCCAGCTTGCACCAGTTTTTGTAACTGGTTCGCACTAATGCCAGTTTGCACTTATTCAGTCACCCCCGAATGCATACAAAAGTAAGGGTAGGGGGTGGATAGTAAAAATAGCAGTGTATTATAGGTGAGAATGTTAAAGACAGCAAGTACTACACGGTTTGACTCCCTAGTTCTATCTCTTTTAAAACCTGATTTCTCTTTTTTTAACAAAAGCATTAAGTTAAGTAACTGAAAAAATATTGAACTAAATAGAAGTTTTTTTTGTTTTTAATGTTTTCAAAAATTTATGCATTGGGGAAAGGTGTAGTTTGATTTTGTAATAAATAATGCATAACTTCGCAGAGGTAGGTGGTATCTTTAAAAGCGTACATGTGGCGGAGGTCCTTAATCAGTGGTTTTACTGTTTTAAGTACTTAATGAAAGCCACATAAGTTGAGTAAAAACGCAACAAAATTATTTGAATTTGATTAAAATCAAGTTTATTTATATACATATATACATATATATATATATATATATATATATATATATATATATATATATATATATATATATATATATATATATATATATATATATATATATATATAAATAATATATATAAATATATATATATATATAAATATATATATATATAAATATATATATATATATATATATATATATAAATATATATATATATATGTGTGTGTATATACATATATATATATATATATATATATATATATATATATATATATATATATATATATATATATATATATATATATATATATACACACACACACACACATATACATACATAAATATATATATATATATATATATATATATATATATTTATATATATATATATATATATTTATATATATATGTATATATATTTATATATATTATTTATATATATATATATATATATATATATATATATATATATATATATATATATATATATATATATATATATATATATATATATATATATATATATATATATATATATATATATATATATGCATGCATTTATACGCACACGCGAAACTAAGATGTACGAAGAGTATCCTCAAACGCTTTTGATACATTCCAAGATTGTTGTATATTTAGAAGATTCTCTTGCATCCTATCGAATAAGTTTTTATCACAATTATTGGATTCCCTAAAAACAAAATTTTAAACACATTTCAAATTATTTTGAATATATAGTAATATATGTCACATATACATTTATACAAAACATCTGGTGAAAAACACACATAATGAACGGACATATAACACTTGCTAAAGTTTATTGCCTATTGTCGTGGTCATGCCATTTCTCCGGTAAATAGTTATAAAACAAACAAGGAGTACACTATGATGTTAGTATTTATATTTTTACATATTTTTTGTATAAGTAAGTAGAAAGGTAAAGCTACCTTTGATAGTATACTTGCTTATACAAAAAAAATTAGTGTTGTGACCAAAACTAAAAATTATAACCTAATTAAACTAAAAAAACTATAAATAAAATTTGTCAATTAACCTTTTAGGCTTACTAAAATTTGTCAACTAGCTTTTAACTAGAAACTATAGAACCACACAAAAAGATTTAATTCAATTTCAAAAAAATTTAAGTTGAACATTAGTGAATTAAATTTTGGACGAGATCATGAAATATTTACGTTAAAAAAAAAAAAAAAACTTACGAGTTGCCACTCGCTAGTTTTCGTTAAAAAAAAAGTAGCGATGGAGAAAACTTTTAATTTTTATTAATGCTTGTTGTCATCCCTTTATGTTGATTGTAAGTAACGCGTTTTATAAAAATATTTGTTTTGCGTTTGAGTACATAATACTAAAATCAATAAACTGCATACTTCCTTTACCACAAAACAAACTTAATCAGTTTTGTTAGGGCTTTCAATAGTTTAATAGGTGTCGAGACGAAGATAAATAAAAAGATGCTTTGTTAAATATCTTTAACAAATTTAAAATGAACGATAAAGTAATTACTACATTAGACAACGTTAGTAACCTAAACAATAGAATAACTTTTTTATAACATTTTAAAAACATTTTCAACAAGGCTCCAAGCAACCACTAATTATATTAGAAGTTAACAAAAAGAAAAAAAGTGAGATAATGAGCAAGAAAGCGGTTGACAAACTATAAATTGTATTAGCCAGGAAAATATGAAGACGGAAGAGAACTCCAAAACTCCGATGCTCAAGGAAAAAAAGTAGATGAATAAAATTTTTATGAGCATGAAGAAACAGTTACAAAAAAAATCCAATTTTACTGATTGACGAATCCTGCGAGATTGATATTTGGAATAAATGTGACAACAAAACACAAAGACGAATAAGATATTAATAGAGGTAGGGAATAAAATCAGAAGTAAGAAAATGGCACGATAAAGAAAGACAATCTTAGCAGATAATAACTTAGCAATAGTAAGTATTTATGGTTTTCATGAGAGGTCAGCAGTGAATGATAATTCTAGAAGACATCAGATAGAGGACACAGAAAAAGTGTTGGCAATTATTAATATAGAAATATTATAAATATTGCGATAAATGTAAGCAGTAAACAACTAAGTTTTGTTTGGTTTAAAATTCACTAGCAACTGAAAGCCCTAATCAACAAATTTTAGGTTAAATTAAAAAACTAAGGCAGTTTTAGTTTATATTTTGTTAGTTTTTTGCTACTTATACGTCAACGTTACCGATTACTGTGATATTCGGTCACTGTTTTAAAAACAATGATTACATGATTGTTCTACTATGTAATATCAACAAGTTTTATTATAATTATTTTATTGCTACATGTACCATTTTCATTCTAAAGACAAAAACATTGATTTGCTATTTGAAACGTGGTTTGAATTGGCTTATGCGTTGCCTGAAAATATCAACATTTTCTAAAGTATAAACTACTGCCAAAATGCATGAAAATGTTAAAAAATCGTTGAAAAGCTTTTATTAAGATACCTACATTAAAAAAATATAAAAATTCAGATAATTAAAATAATTGACAATAATAAAAAGTTTTAAAGGCTAGAAAAAAATCTTATGAAAGGGCGAATAGTCGTTTGAAGAGCAGTAAAAACCTTTTGTAGGAACGTGTCTTTAAATAAAATCTTATCTAAATTGTCAGTAAGTATGACAAGCCTTTGATTAAAATAATTATTTCCTTTAAAATAAAAGAAATATGTAAGGGCTATTTCCTTGCAATTTAAGAAGGGCCGGTGCCAACATTTTTAGGTCTTCGAAATATGAAACTTTAAATTTATCGATGAATATAAGTTTAGTTGAAAAAAGTACAGAAAATATTTCATCAGCTAGTTGCTCTCAAGTTTGGGGCAGGGTAGGCCAAAACTTGGGGTTTTTTTTGTTTCCAAGGGTTTTATTTTGTTCCAATCATCACATTTTTTTGCAAAGCATCCTTATTTGACATAAGTATAAACATATAAATGTTTGGAGTTTGTTTCATGTCTGGAAGTTAGCTATCTCAAAGACCAAAAAATGCTGGCGCCGGCCCTGAATTTAATTAATTATTTCCTTAATTTTAATTGTTTATAATTAATAGTATTTGTAGGTGGATTGTTATCCGATATAAATTCAGGTTAAAATTTGTAAAAGAGATTTTGATTTAGTAAAGTTTAATTTAGTGAATTGCTACAATGCCAGATCAAGCAAAGGTTTGCGATAAAAATCAAAAATTTTTGTGCTGACTTTGTCTGAAAAAATGTTTACGACAGCTTACTGCTTTCCAAGCAAATCGAATATGCCAACTGTACAAGACAAAAAACAATATCAGTGATTCTTGGGTACCACAAAGACTCTGCGAATATGTAGAAATATTTTGTGCAGGAAACAAGGGGGAAACAAAGTTATTCTCCCTCCTTTGTTTAATTTCTATTCAATACAAGCGGGACCTGAAACAAGAGCCATGATGTGGTATTGCCTAAATTTCTAAATTGGTCGTTCAAAACTGCAAGAAAAACATCCTATTAAAGAGCAAACTACCATTGAGAAAGAACCAAATGTAGGTTGCAGCACATGTCTCTGCCTTTAGGAAATTTTCTTCACTAATGCTCTCAAATAAAGTTCAGGGAAAACCTTTTTTTAGCAGCAAAAGATGCCAAACAAATTGCATCTCGAGTTATTTTCAACAAAGAACTATGCCGCGAATGAACTATTTGACTTACTAAAGTATCTGGTGTCCACTTACAATTATCCCAGGTAAATATTTACACTTATATATATATCTTTAACATATTATATATCTTTAACATATATTTTCAGAAAAAATCTTTAAAAAAAAACAAAAAACTTTCTGGACAAAGTTTAATAAAAAGATAAAATATGTATATTTTGGTTTCAGGTTAAAGCAGTGCCCAGCCACTATCATGCGCTCCAAAATTGACCACTCTAGCTCTTGTAAAAAGTGTTGACCTGCTCTTAAGAAGTAAGAAGTCTAATTCTTATAAAAATAAAGCTCATGTTGTTGCTTGATGTTTGGTTTACAATTCTGAGCAGTTTCTTTAACCCGTTGTTTGATAGTCCCAAAATTGACCACTATAGCTCTTATAAATATGAGACTAATCAAACAACGGATTAAAGAAGCTGCTCAGAACTGTAAACCAAACATCAAGCAGCATGAGCTAAATTTTTATGAGAATTAGACTTCTTACTTCTTATTGGCAGGTCAACACTTGAGTGATTTCTTCATCTGCAGTGACTTAAGAACTACCAACAAAAAAGGAGATTCTGGTACAGGTTGGGTAGTTTCTTGCTGCAATGATATATCAAGCCTTATGTGAATTATGTTATTCAATTATGTTATTAGTGAATTATGTTATTCAATCTTACAAAATTTATCGTGGATATTTTGTTAAGCTCCAAATTAATTTTGGAAAAGGTTTTCTCAAGTTTTGTCTAAGCATTGTTGATAATGCGTTAAGGGTTGATACCAGCTCACCACTTCAAAAATAACTTTTCACTCAAAGGACTGGCAAAGACACTGGAGTTATAAAACAAAATCTTGTTGTGGTATCAGAAGATTTGCAAGAAACTCACTACAACATCAAACAAATCTGGTCACTGATTAATGCAAATGGAGTTAAACAAACTTTGGCTTGCAATATGAAAGTTAAAATATAATTAGTGGTCTTCATACCCATTCAAGTATGCATCCTTGTACACAGTGTGACATCAAAATCTTTGTGTTTGCCAAATCTGGGAACTTGTGAATACTGGGCTCAATCAAATCTAGCTTTGATTCTTTTCAGCAATCTGGCGGGGTTGCAGGTCATGCAAAGTTGTTTGGAAATGTCATTCGAAAAGCCAATTATCAGTATATCTTCCACATCCAACTGAGCCTGTATCACCTTTTTATTAATTAAGGAGGCTTCTTTAAAATGTGGATTTACTCCAGCAACTTGCTGATACAAACTCAGTTCCCAACATTCTTCAAACAGTTAAAGCATTCAAAAGTTTCAATTTAGTTGTAAAAGCTTGCTTTGGATTTATCCTTCAGGCGGATTTTGCTGAAATAATTAAGAATTTTAAAAGGTGCTACTTGATGATAACTGGTGCAAGAGTAAGACCTGAAACTCACACCGTCTTTATCACATCAAAGATTTTATTAGTCGCAAATGATCCACCTTGGGGCCCTATAGTGAACAAACTGTCAAAACTGCTTATCAAAACTTTTATAAACATTGGTCAAGGTATAAACCAAACAAAAATCATCCACAGTACAAAAAAAGATTGTTATGCTGCATATTCGATCTGAACAGTAACAGTACGTGAACAGTAAGCATCTTTAAAGAACTGCTAAAATAATTTAATTTATTAAATTAGGCAGCAGAAAATTATAGCTTACGGTTTATAATGAACATTTCAACCATTTTAATCCTTAAGTGCTGTTAGTTTGACTAAAAGAGTGTTTAAGTAAAGAGTAAATTAGGCTTTAAATAAATTTCTTGTGGAAAAAATCAAAGACTATGTCTTACAATTTAATCAGATGATATTTGATGGTAATATAGTATAAAAAATAAGGTTTATATAGTTATTTTTTCATATTTTGAAAGTCAATGTATTTAAGAAAGTTTCAAGGGCTAATAAAATTTCTTTTAACAAAAACATTTTTTTGTTGTTTTCCTAACTGATAGTCCTTTTGCCGGATTTTGCACATTTTTTTACCACTTTTTATTGCATTTTGGCAATAGTTTACACAGTAATCAATAATATTTTGAGATCGAAGTAGCAAAAAACTAACAAAATATAAACTAAAACTGTCATAAATCCTCAGCCAGTAAACCAATGCAACTGAAATTTTATCCAGAGTTTGATGTGAGCTATATTTAGACCAATTGTTATCAAATAATATGTAGTGGTTCTCATTCTAGAGGTGTTATTACAGCACTATAAAGTCAAAATTTCACTTAATTTGAACATTCAAATTAAATTATTTTCTGCTGACAAAATGAAAAGGTTTCAAAAATTGCATCACAAGGTACCTTGATGTGTATACTATCACACCGTATAAGTGGCATTCTTGGGTCAGCTAGGTTCAGTGCTAACTGTGTATGGTTAACTACATTACTAATAATAAATAAATATTAGCAAACTAAAATGTAAATAAATAAAGACTAATTTTATGTAAAATAGACTAAAAAACAAGTTACGTTTAAGTTAAATTGTGACATACTGAAATCTATTTTTATTTTGACAAAGACACCTTTAGATCTTGAAAATACGATTGTTTTGAGTATATGAGAATTTACCATTGTTTCAAAAATATGAGAATTTACAATTGTTTCGAATAAGAGAATTTACAATTGTTTCAGCAATAAGAAATTGCAATTGTTTCAAATATGAGTGTATTATAAATGGTGATTAATTATTACATTTTTTAAAAATGTATATTTTAAAAAGATAGTTTACAATGATATTACTAATATTAATTTTATCTCTGATTTTATAGTTGTGCTTTGTGTTATGTTTACAACAGATGTTTTGTTTCATTAATCAAAAACTTTTTGATGATAAATACATCAGTAGTTTCAGTGTGGTAATGAGACGCCATTTATAATGTTGCTGCTTTGGTGGTGGTTTCACAATCTCAACTTGATCTGTTGATTTGGCACCAAATATACCAAGAAGCAAACAACCAATAGACTTCAATAATACTTGATATTATTATTGGATGTATAGTGGTTGCATAAATTATAGTTTTTAGGATACATTCAATATCATCATTGTAATTTTATTGTGGAAAGCTCTAGAATATTTAAAGGGTTTATTTCTGTTGATTTAATTCTGTGGTTTATAATTTTAGTAGTTTATAATTGTGGTTTATAATTTTAGTTTGTAATTGTGGTTTATAATTTTAGTTTATAGTTGTGGTTTATAATTTTAGTAGTGTTTTGTGGATCATAATCTGTAGTTGATGGTCTGTGGAAAAACTGCTTATTAATTAATCCAAAAATAATAAATTTAGATTTGTTTGTCCACAAAGCTGTGCCCCATTTCTGATTTGTCCATGCAAAATATTTATGACAAAATTTCTTTTCTGGTTTTTATATGTTATTTTTACAATAAAGGCACACTTCTAGTTGATCTTGAAAATAAACTTGCTTTATGTACACGCCTTCTAATTGTATGTGAGCTACATTCAACTCTAAATTTTATTAATGGTGTTGCTGGAGATAAATGGATCCCTTTTAGGTTCACGAATAATTAATTTATTTCTCTCTAATTTAAGAGTGAGGTTTTAAACCATTCCAACAGTATGTTCTCAGCTGAGCTCTTTGTAATTCTCTTAGTAATTCAACAACTTAAAAACAGTGAATATAAAGAGATTCCAAAAATAACTTAGCGTACTGCTAAGTTATTTTTAAAATCTCTTTATACTCACTGTTTTTAAGTTGTATCTTATAAATAAAAACTACATATTTTTATACAAAAACCTGCTTCATGCTTATTTAATCATCAGGTCATCAATCATCATGTTTATTAAAATCATATATATATATATATATATATATATATATATATATATATATATATATATATATATATATATATATATGTATATATGTATGTATATATATATACATATATATATATATACATATATATATATATATATATATATATATATATATATATATATATATATATATATATATATATATATATATATATATATATATATATATATATATATATATATATACAAATACCTTACTTCTTGATGGTTATAAAAAAGCTTGTAACAAAAAACTTTTTATAAAATTTAAAAATCGAATTGATATCAATTCACTACTAAAAGGAACTACTGAAAAGGAGTTTTCAACATTTGAAATAATTAATTTGAATGAATTAATTGCTGCAACATTTACAAAAAAAAAAAAAAAAATATTGTAAATATAAGTAAGTATTGTAAAAATATAAGTAAGTATTGTAAATATAGATCTATTTCATATTTAAATTTACTCATATCAATAACTTTGCATTGAAATTATTTTTACTATTTTAGTTATAGTAAAAAAATAAATGAGATTTTTTGGTACCGGGATTGCATACCACTATTAATAGAATAAAATGTCATTTTACAAAATCAAAAAGCTTGTCTCCTACTACATAAAAAATCGTATTAATAAGAACTAACTTTATTCAAGCTCTAACAATCATTTATCCAAACTTAAACACTCATTTATCCAAACTCTTACACCCATTTATTTAAACTCTAACACTTGTTAATTCAAACTCTTACACTTGTTTATTCAAATTCTTAAACTCATTTGTTTATCCAAACTTTTAAACTCTTTCATTCAAACTCTAACACTCTTTTAAAATGTGATGCTTTACAATAATTTTGTAAAACTATTATATTTTAATTTAGACAACAATAACTGATCTAAAATTTTATTCATACTTGTTAGAGGTTGTTTGAAAGTAATAGCCGTTTAAAGTTTGCAAACTTTTAAATAAGAAATTATAAAAACATTGTTATAACTTAGAAAGTAAGAAAGATTAATTTTGGGTTAGGTCGCATTTTATTTGACTGAATCAAATGGATTGTAGAAAAAAAAATCATTTTATTGTTTAACTTCTTTGTTATTTCTTATTTATAAAATTTTCACTTATAATCAAAAAACAATTTGAAATCATTTGCAATTTCAATATAGGCAACATCTAATCTTTTCTATTAATATCATTGTATTTAACATTAAAACTTATTGTAAATAAAACTATAAAACCACTTTTAAACTTGGAAAAAGAAAAAAAAACAAAAACAAAAACTAAATTACCTAGATACTAGTTTGCTAGATGACTGTAACAGGGGTTGTGATGTGGAATCAGAAATGCTGTACATAAAATAAATAAAATATAAATATATAAAAAAAACATACCTATAGAAATTATAAAAATGTATAGCAAATTAAATTTTAATTAAATGTTTTTTAATATAACAACATGCCATTCCGTGGTTACTTCTTTCTGGAGACAGAAACTTGTCTTAAAGTTGGATTTTACAAAATCCATTGTAGGATAATCAAAAAACTCCCTAAAAAATCCAATGTTTAGAAAAAATAGGTGGTTTAAAAAAATAAACTATATAATATTTATCAAAATTTTGCTTGTAGCTTACATTTCGCTACATTCTTCCATTATATCATCATCTGGCAAAGATTTTAGTATTGGTGGAATTTGCAATGACAAAAGTTCATTGTTGAAAAGACCATTTCTATTAAACATGTAAAACCAAAATATTACTTATATTTTAATACAAGTTATAGAAATAATCTATTTAACTATAAATTAAAACCAGTTTAATAAAAATTTATATTTAAGATGAAATAATTTAGGATTGGGATAAAAATTCTATTTTTCAAAAAGAACAAAATAAAAAAACAATAATTGCATAAATTTACAGATAAAATGTTTACATTTTAATTAGTTGTTTATGCTTTTGTGCGTATTTTTTACAAAAAATATACTACTCATCATTAGTGGAATGAAAACATATTTTTAAATTGGTAGAAGTCTATTTTTCTAAGTGATTGCATTCAGTTTATAACGCTTTTTAGAAGTAATTGCATTCAGCCTTTGACATCATGTTTGTAAGGTCTTTAAAAAGAAGCTAACTATATAATTTTTACTATTGAAACTTTTTTTCATTAAATTTCATTTCAATTGAAAATGATAAAATCAAGCTGAAAATCGGGAAAGCACAAGCATTATACTTTCAAGGTAAAAAAAAAGCAATTTTTCATCATGCACACAAACAAAAAGAAAGAACTAAAAATTAATGAACAAAAAAAGATCTGAAGATAAATATGTAATAATCATATAGCCACACATAACTCTAATAAACACATTGGTTTTTCTGTTTTTATGAAATCACAATTTAGTTAATAAAAGTCATTCCCAACAAAAGCTGAAAGCAAACACTAAGTTAATAATTAACAGAAAACAAAAAGAGCTAAAGAGTTAGGAAAACATAAACATAAAGATGGTAGAGACTTTCAGAGCAACAATGTTTGTGGGAAAAAAAAAAATGAATAAAAAAAAATTATAGCAAAAGGAATCAACTTACAGTGTGTGCACAAGTTTAGACACATCAAATTTTTTTTTAGTTTTTAATTCATAACTTTTCATAAACTTAATTGAATAGGTCGAAATTTTTACCAAATGTTCTTTATAATATTTCAATTCAAAATTTAATTGCAAAAGTTGTAAAACTTCAACAGTTAACTAAAATTTAATTTTTTTTTTGAAAAGACTTCCATTCAAAAATTTACAAAAACAATTGAATTTTAATTAATATTTGTTTTAAAAAAGCTGAAACTATTACTAAAACTTACAAACTTATATACAGGTCAAGTCATTATATTTTAACCAATTTGAAGAAAACTTTCTGGGTCACCATCTCTGATTTTCCTGATTTTTACACATTGTTATGTGAATTAAGTAGATAGGTTAAATTTGAAATTTCAGACTTCCAAGTACATTGGTCCAGAAATTATAGCCTTAAACATGAAACAATGTTTCCCCTCGATTTACAAACGGTCAAAACAGACTACTTTAGAGCTGTATAACTTTTTTCTCACTTTCAGCAAGTGTCTCATATTTTCTAGAACTATTTTCTGAATAGTTTTCTCTTTAAAAAAGTGGTTTTTATTAACTTGTGTTAAATTAGTAAAAAATTATGACCTCCTTAACTTTGGAAAAAATCCTAAAATTGTTAAAATATGCCAAAATGAAACTGTAGCGTTATTCTATTCATCCACAAGTCTTTACAGATAAGTTTTCTGATTAGCTACTACTGTCTACAATAAATGGGCAAAATATAGGCAGCTTGTTGCAGTTTAGAACTCAGATATATCTAAAAGCAAAACGTCCACTCACCTAAAAAGTCCAATTTTTACTCATTTTGAGATGCTTGAAAATTTTTCTAACACTTTGTTTTGATCTAAGATTAACAGCATATAAGACCATTAGACCCAACTATCTAAAAATGCAAACATTATAAACTTGTCAAATCCACAACGAAAATGCCAGCATTTTTAAATAATTCTATTTTTCAATTATCAATGGTTTAATGTATTACTAAAAACCAGTGCCTCTCTAATCCGCCAACCAGTCTATGTGCATTTCTTAATAAAAAGAAAGATAAGGCAGGCTGTCCTCTGCTTGATCTGGTCTTTATAGTAGATAGAGGCAAAAATAAAGGGGGCAGTAACTTTTTATAGACCTTTATTATGGTTCAAATGCTATGCCAAACTCCCTCCCCCTCCTTGCTCACCCTCACCTAAGTGAGTGAGGGAGAGTGTCCAGACCACTGATTACCTTCAAACGAAGGTCTCTAAATAAATTTAGAAACTTATTATCTAAATATCTAAATTAATTTCAAAATGAAACTATTATTTCTTTGAATTCTATTTTATTATAGGTAATCAGTGGTCTGGACCCTCTCCCCCACTCACTTAGGTAATGCTCTACTTATTGTTTTAATCAAGCAAATCAATACTTTAAAACTCTCTCTTAACTCAAACAACTTACATTTTTTTTGCACTTTCTGTCAACTGCTTTTTTGCACTTTCTGCCAACTTCTTTTTTGTACTTTCTGCCAATTGCTTTTTTGCACTTTAACTATATTCTTTGCTTTTTCTTTGCTTACAGCCTTTTTGGGAGTAAACTACTTTTTTTTTAAAAAAAAACCCAGTTTTTTATACTTAGCTAGATATTTTAGTCCTTATACAATATAAAAACTCAGTTTTTGTGCTAAATACAAGTATTATTTATTCACAATGTTCTTTTGAAAACAAAACACTCATTTTGGACATCTGTGGTTTTTCCGTTGTAAACTCATCAACTCATAAATTATGTTAGCTTGTAACCTTTTAGAACACTTATTATTTTTTAAGGTAGATGGTAATACATTGTAATTTAAAACTACAATGTACTAAATGTGTGATGGGATAATAAAGCCCCCCCTCCCTCTTTTAATAAAAAAAATTTGAACAAAATATTATATGAAAGTTTTTTTTTAACTTTATACAAAATAGCAACTGAGCTATGTATGCTTGTTTCAGTTTATTATATGTTTAGATCATTGATCTAAACATATGGGATGTAACACACATAAAATTAAATTCCATTTTCTACTTTTTTAGGATACAAAAGGTACACTTTATGAATTAAAATAAAAGTTGAAATAGTTCAAGAGAAAATTTTTGTCATAAAAAAAAACTTATTTTATATATATATATAAAGTTTATAAATACACACACACACACACACACACACACACACACACACACACACACACACACACACACACACACACACACACAGATATATATATATAAAATGTTTTTTTTAAATGTTTTTCTGTGAATGTAATGTTGTTTACTTCATCCGAAAATTTAGTCATGTGACTTACGTTTTTATTATCTTTGGTTTAGTTAAAAATAACTTGGACAACTGTGTTTTTTACGCGGTAAACATTGGACCAACAGTGGTTGTTTCAAAGTTGCCCTTTTTTTTAAATGACCATAGAACCTTAAAACAGTTTTTTTGTTATGAATTTTTAAATTAAAATAGCTTAATACTAAAATATCATAAAAATATATAAAACTTGAAATTTTCAAAAAGTGGACATCTGTGGTTTTACCCATGTGGTCTTCATATAAATATATATATATATATATATATATATATATATATATATATATATATATATATATATATATATATGTAAATTATAAAATTGTTTGAAATTACACTTTTTATGATTTTTAACTAAATTTAAAGCAATTTCCAGGCATTGGTGCATATAGATTCTGATGTCAAATCCAGTTAATTTGTTCAACGATATTTCCTTAATGTGTTCCTGTACCAAAAAAAAAAAACACTGTGCATAATAAACCTTCAGTTATAAAGCAGTTTTAATCATCCATGGATGATTAAAACTGAATTAACTGAATGCAATTACTTAGAAAAATAAACGTCTACCAATTTAAAAGTTTTCATGCTCTATGCCAATATATTGTAACTATATGGGTATAGAGCATGAAAACTTTTAAATTGGTAGAAGTTTATTTTTCTAAGTAATTGCATTCAGTTTTTTCAGTTTTAATCATCCATGGATGATTGAAACTGCATAATTTAAAGCACCGCTAACAAAGTTGGGAGCTCAACTCTTATTAGGAAAAACAAATTTTCTAATTTTGATTTTCTATTTGAAAGTTGTTTTATGTTACATATTTTTATGAGAAGTTGTTTATTATGTTATATTTATTTGAAAGTTGTTTTAACTATAATTGTTGTTTAATTATAACTATACTTATTTATTATTTAAATTTTTTTTAAATTTCATAGAAAAATAATAATAATCATCAATGCATACATAAATTAACTGATATGGTCGTAGTCAGAGTGTAGTTACAAACAACAACTTAAATAGATATGGGGGAGGCAGACAATACATATATAAATATTTTTAAATTAACAGTGACTAAACAAACAAATAATCTCCAAAGATATATTTAATTTTTGATAAATATATTATTCAAATAAATTCTTTAGCAATAAGTTAGTGTCGCAGAATAGCTGCAATTAATTAATTAACTGAGGATTTATGCCTTAGGCTAAGCACTCTTTTAATCAATAGAAAAGATTTTCTACATTTTCAACTTAAAAAAATATTGCATCAGGAAACTGAATACCCCCTACCCCTGAAACAAATGATCATAAAATCTCCCTCTCCCTCATTACATGACATTATTTGTGGATGACCCCTTAAACAAATCTGACATTAAATAACAGAACTTAAAAAATCTTCAAGCAAATACATTGAATAACATATTGCCATGAGCATCTTAATGCTTTAAATAAATTAAATCATTTCTTCCTTAAATTAAATCAATTCCTTCTTTACTAGTTCTGTGAAAAAAAATTGCATTTTCTTACAGTTGAGGTATAGAAGTATTTTCAAAAGACCCCTTTTGCATCACAATGAGACCTTGCGATGCAAACTTTTTCCAACACATCATCTCTGGTATCATATTCTATAAGAAAGATAAAGACTTAAAACATTATAACTAATAACTTTTATGAAAATAAAAAATAAAACCTTAAATTATAAACAACTTTTTTTTTAATTTAGAATAAAAAAAAGTACCACAATTTTTAGTTAAAAATAACACAAACATTGAGTGTTAATTATAATTTTTATAATATACTTTTTTTATAATATACTTTAGTAATATAACTAAAAGATTTTATTTTTGTAAGAAACTTACTTTTTCATTATGCATTAAATGGTTGTACTGATTGGACATATTTAAAGGACACAATCCATAGTCATTATCAATTTCACTGTATGCTAATGGTTGAGGTTGTTTTTGGATGCCAGGTAAAGGATTCTTCAAAAAATTTTAACAAAAGTTAGCAAATTAAATAATCAATTTTGGCTAACCAAAAAAAAATTGAATCTACTTGTACTTAAAAAAATATGCAGGGGGTGATATTGTACTTACAAAAATATGTAGGGGGTGATATTGTATAGATTCTTGGAAAAATGCAGGTGGCAGCAGAGGTTTTGAAACATTTTTTTCTTCTGAAGTGGATGTCTTAGGTTTGATGGACTGTGCAAATAAGAAAAATCCTTGCTTATAACTTTTATCAAAAAATTAAATTTTTTTTTAATATTTAAAAGACATTTTTATTATTTTCAGAAAAGAAGTTTCATAACCTTTTATATTAAAAAAAAAAATAACATAGCATAAATGAACACTTAAATTCTTTTAATCTATTAATATATAAATACCTTAATGTAAATTTATGAATAAAACAAAAACCTCTAATCCAGTTTTAAATTTTCGAGGGAGACGTTTAGATATATGCTTTGTCACATGGCGGTCATATGGAACCTCTGTATATGAAAGAAGCTTGTATTGCTGTGGAACCTTAAATAAAAGATTTTGATAATTAAATATCAGGGTAGCTACACAAATAAATATCAGGGTAGCTACACAAATAAATATCAGGATAGCTGCACAAATAAATATCAGGGTAGCTACACAAATAAATATCAGAGTAGCTACACAAATAAATATCAGGGTACACAAATTTTCACTAAAAAAAAAAAGTATTAAAAGGTTTTAAAAAAAGATTTTGCATTCGATTTAGATTAGCAAAAATTTAAGAGAAAGACGAAAAAAAGGCAACAGTTAAACGTTTTTTAAACTTCTTAGGTTTAAAAACCTATCAATTTTTGAGTTAAAAACAAACACTTTTAGAAAACTATTTATTTCTTGATAGATAAATCATAAAACAATTGAAAGATAAATAAGAATAAATTAAAAAAAGTTTATATTGGAGCCCTTTTTTACGAATTAGGGTTTATTAATATTAATAAGGCAATTGCTTGGGCTATTAAATAGTGAACTGAGTATTATCTGTGCTTAGAGTCAAGTTCTTTAACAAACTTAAAAATGACTAAAGTATTATAAACTATAAAACTCAAAAAACCATCGTCATCACCAAGTTCTCTAAATCTATTATTCACTAATAATCGTGGTCTTCAAAAAAACTTTTTTTCTGATGCGTCTTTTCTCCTGAGAAGTTCACTAAACCTACTTGCTCTTTGTGAGACTAATTTGAGTTCAGCTGTCTTATCTTGTGATCTTAGTGTTGATGGTTATCTTTCTTTAATTCTTAAAGATTCCAATAGTCACATGCTTGGCCTGGGCGTTTACATTCATAAGAGTTCTCCTATTTGTCGAGAAACTAGGTTTGAATCCACAGACTATTCTTTTATTTGCTTTCGTTTAGCACCATTTCACTCTATCGCCTTTCTCTTTGTTCTATCGCTCTCATTTATCTCAAGACTCTTTTCAATGTTATTTCTGATCAAATTGACCAAGCCCTTTTTCTTTCTTCTTCAGCCAATATCGTCATTATTGGTGACTTTAACGCTCATCACACTGATTAGCTTGGCTCTAGGGTCAATGACTCTGCAGGCATAAAGGCCCACAACTTTTGCCTTTCTCAATCTCTAATTCAAATAGTCAATTTTTCAACTCGCTTTCCAGACAATCCAAATCATTTACCCTCTCTATTCGACTTATATTCTTGTTTCTGATCCTAGTCAGTGCTCAGTTTCTCCACACTTACCCTTAGGTGCTTCTGATCATGGTTTTATATCTCTAAAAAAATCTCCTTATCATCATACCTCTTTCAACTACCATAAAGCTGGCTGGGATTCTTTCTGTGATTTTCTTTGAATTGACCCTTGGGTAGAAATCTTTCGTCTTTCTGCTGAAATGTGCTCCTTACATAATTTCTTTTTTTCTTGGACTCAGACTGGCGTGAAATCTTATTTTCTCTTAACAATCCCAAGTCAAGCCTCTTTCTTCCAATGGCTTTCTTCGCATTGTGGTGCTGCAATTTTCAATTGTAACCATTAGTTTCATATCTATCAGCAAAACAATCCTTCAGAAAACAGATGTCTGTTTACTATTGCTAGAAACCATTGTTAAAAAATTTTTGTCTTACGCAAAATCCCGCTATTCTCAAGTTACAAAATCTCGAAATTCATCTCAAAAAGTAGGCTCTCATGTTTTCTGGAAAATCTTTAACAGCGTCTATAATAAGGAAAAATCTGCTGTTCCACCTCTCTTGTATGGTTCAGATTTAGTCACCTAACCTGAAGACAAAGCTGAACTGTTTATAAAAACTTTTCAACAAAATCATCTCTTGATTCAACTGACAAACAGGTTGATTGATTACTTGACATTTGCATCACTCCAGCTTCTGTATCTAAAGTGATTTCTTGCTTAGACTCTTCTACAGCTTGTGGTTCGGACAACATACCTGTAATGGTCTTGCAGAAGTAATAGTCTTCCTGAGCTGTTGTCTATGCTTTCAAAACTATTTAGCAAGTCCCTATATGAGTCTTATTTTTAGGCCTGCTGAAAAGCGGCATTTGTTATCCCTATTTTCAAAAACTCTGGAAAGCAATCTGACTTGTCTACCATCCCATAAGTCTTCTTCCTATCATAAGCAAGGTTTTTGAATCTTTAATTAACAAACACTTAATCTCTCATCTTAAATCTAATAACTTACTTTCTGATCATCAATATGGATTTCGATCTTCTCGTTCTACGGCTGATTTGCTAACAGTAATAACCGATAGGTTTTATCATGCACTAGATAAAGGTGGAGAGGTTAAGACCATCGCTCTTGACATTTCTAAAGCGTTTGATAAAGTTTGGCATGCTGGTCTTCTCCATAAGCTCTCTTTTTATGGTGTATCAGGTAACATCTTCAAGATAATTGAATCCTTCCTTACCAATCGTAGTATAAAAGTTGTCCTTGATGGACAGCACTCTTCTCCTTATTCTGTAACTTCAGGGGTTTCTCAAGGTTCAATCCTTGGCCCTATACTCTTTTTAATTTACATTAACAATCTTCCAAATATTCTCACACCTAAGATGGCATTGTTCGCTGATAATACTACCATTTATTGTTGTCTTGATAAGAAGCTAATACGATCTGATAACTTAAAGGGTGCATTTGAGCTTTAAAATGAACTCACTTCTGCTACAGCATGGGGCTGGTGAACATTAACTCAGAAAAATATTTTTTCAGCTAATCATTATCGCAAAAATCCTGATCTTCCTATATTTATAAATGGTTATGTACTCAATGAGTCATCTACCTTTCATTTTCTAGCATTAACTCTTACTTCTAATCTTTCTTGGAAAACATGTATTAAATTGATTGCAAAATTTATTTTACTCGCTACTTTCTTATATTGAATTCTATTTTTTATCTCTATAAATCTCAATCTGTCATTGTATGGAGTACTGTTGCCATGTCAGTGGCGGATCTTCCAATTCCAATGATGGGTAGATCTTTTAATGCCAATGAAGACTTTTCTCTTTTAGACAAGGTGCAAAAATGCATTGTACAGTTGAACCTGCTCTTCAAGGTTCTCAATATTAAAACTGAGGCTAAAATTAAGGATTTTAAGGAGATTTAAGGAGATATTTTCCTAATATTTAAGGAGATTTGGTTACAAAAAACAATTTTTTTCAATAAATTTTAAATACAATTAGAAAAATTTTTATAAATTAACAGAAATATAGGATTTCAAACTATTAAAGGACTATATTTTTTCTTCTTTATTAATAAGTATAATCCATTCACTTTAATAAAATTTCCTAGATAATTAAAAAAAAAAAAAAAAAACAAGAAAAAATTAAGGAGAACTTTAACTTTTTTTAAGGTTTTTAAGGAAGAGTAGGAACCCTGCTCTTGCAGCCAACCTCCAAACATTATCATATCATTGTAATGTTGCTTCTCTTTCTCTTTTCTATAAAAACTATAATGGGCTAAATGATGGATAAAAATGGAACTTCAAATTTTAAGTCGTCTGTCAATCATTATCTTGCTCTATAAACTTCATCTTTTCTCTTCCAGTAACTTCCAACTCTAATAGCGGTTGCTTGCAGCCTTGAAAGTGAATATGTTATAAAAAAACTTGCTACTTTATATTCTCTATTGTTTACAATGCTGAAGGATTTTAAATAAACTTTACAAAATGCATTTGTTTATGCTTCCTATTTCTTCTCAATAAACTTTTTTCTTCTTTATAAGCCACAAGATATAAAATTAACAGTACAATTTTATGTATAATTTATTTACAATTTTTAATTAAGTTTATTCTATTTCAAGTCATTTTTAAGTATAAATACTATAAAAATATAAATACTGTTATAAACAATATAAAACCTCAAGATTAAACAACTCAGGTTTGGAAGTCAGCAAAACTTCTGTTGGTTTTATATCTATCAAACCCAACAAGTATGGCTCCTAAAAGAAAGATCAACTATATTTGTTCATATCTATATATATGTGTGGGTGTGTGTAAAAATGTATATATATATATATGTATATATATATATATATATATATATATATATATATATATATATATATATATATATATATATATATATATCAACTTGTTTCTCCGCGCAGCGGCCTTGTTCGTCAAGGTTTGTGTTTTGGAGTTATAGAGTAGTGAGAGAGTTGTTACCACAAACAAGTAGCCTCCTTGTCTGTAGTGGCCTTCTCGGCCTTAAGGAGGTGAATTAAAATATATATATATATATATATAAATATATATAAATATATATATATATATATATATATATATATATATATATATATATATATATATATATATATATATATATATACAGTCAGCGAAATTCAGGTCGGCATTCGGCAATGCCAACGCAAAAGCTGACCTATCTTTGCTTTAGGACGGCATACAACTGCTGACCTGAATATTCTAAAGTGTCGGCATGCAAATTGAAATACATGTAAAAAATATATATTATTCATTAAATACTATTCTATAATTTTTTTAATTGTAATTACTTGCTTTTCAAGTTTGACATGTTTTATTAAAACAAATAGTCATTCACTTTTTCTTTTTTTCTCAAATTTATTCAAGCATAGCAAAGTTAAAAAATATTACTTTTTAAATGCCTGATGTTCTCACGCTTTTAAGTGCAATTATTATTTTATTAAGATATAAAATCTAATTTAATTAATTTATTTTTTTACTTAAAACCATGTAACTAATTAAATAATTTACATGTTTACGGTTTTTTTAGAATTATTTAAGATCAGAAAGTATATTAGGAAAGTCTTGTTATAGCTATGTTAGAAACATGCGGAGAAGAAACATTAGTTACAAAACTTTTTTTTAATTTGGTAAAAGTTTTAATGCTTCCATTAAATTGCAACAGACACAACAGTAATAAAGTCTAACTCAAAACAATGTTTATATATAAGAAAAAAAAACTA